TATTGCAATGTAGCTTGACTTTATAATATCAAAACCGTAGAGAAAAAAATTAATCAATTTAAAAATGACATACAGTGTGGTGGAGAAAAGTAAAAGTGGCCAGCCATTTAAAAACCGATTAAAATAGTATAATGTGGTAAACTGCTTTTGAGCGAGTGCTTAATAAACGAGTGAATTAAAAACTTTGCCAAACGTGTTGTATAATATATTTTTTCTACGTCCGTTAATTTTTGGATACATTTTTGCAAAATACATTCAGTGACATGACCGTCAGAATTGACAAACGTCAAAATTCTCCGTGCGGTAATATCCCGGAAATGCGCACGCTAGATTGAGAGTAGAAAATAGTATATTATACAACTGCAGTAAACGGCATTTGACTCACGAGTTTATTTGACACGAGCGGAGCGCAGCGGGGCGAGTGTTTAATAAATTTAAAAAGTTTACCGAACGTGTGGCATACTATACTTTTTCTACGACCATTAGTTTTGGGTACATTTTCGCAAAACAACACGAATACATCCACTGACATCACCGTCAGAATTGACAAACGTCAAAATTCAAACCGTGAGGTAAAATCTCCGAAAACATCCGATTGCTCCCAAACCCGTGTTGTAAAAAAAAATATTTTTGGTTTCTGTAGCAGGCTGATCAATGGCACGGGATTGGTTAGTTTGTTTTAGCATATAGGTTGGCTTTTTGGACAACCCTAGTTATCCTATATGTCCCGGATTATTTAGGATTTTTCAATTTAGTTAGATCCAATCTATTTCTAAATTTTGAACGAGTCTTTAAAACTTAAATATATTTTTTTTAGGCGGAAGCTATAAACTAATTAATAACAATATATATATATATATATATATATATATATATATATATATATATATATATATATATATATATATATATATATATATATACAGTGTGTCCAAGATAAGGATGCACAGCATGGGGATCTCGGAAACTATAAGAGATACAGTGTCGGTTAAATTAGACAAAAGTTGCGCATTTTGATACCGAACAAGATCCCGTTTTACAAATTTGAAAATTCCAAGCCGTTCCGGAAATATCCGAGAAAAACCGAAATATTGCGATTTCGTTTTTATTATTTTTTAAAGCTATTTGAAAAGATATGAAAAAACGGAAAACACTTTTCCATTGGCACTTTTTAATCTCTCCAAATTGACGTTAACAAATTTTCATTACAGCGTTTCGATTCCATGGAACCACCATCAACTTTGATTTTTCTTATGGGACGGAAAAAAAGTACACACAGTATTAGGTTGTGCTTTTCATTGCGAATTCAACGATGTACGATACAATATGGTTACTTATGTTTTTATCCAGAAAAATGGATTTTTAATACATTTCAGCATTTAAATGGAGTAGGCCATGACAAAATGACATCCAGTCAATTTCAATGACACATTAATGTTATTTGTCTTTGTTATCAGTCGATCATAAGTTTATTCCTTTAGTTATTGTTTTTGTATTTTTATTGTTGTTGTCTTTTTCTAATTTATTTTGTTCTACAATGGAGGGAGGTAATTTTACAAACGAAGAAAAATGTGATATGCTGTCTTGCTACATCTGATGCCAAAGAAATTGTGTGGAAGCCGAGCGTATGTATTCTAACAAATACCCAGAGCGGAGACAACCTGACAAGAGTATTTTTCGGCGTTTGTTATTTAATCTGAAAGAATATGGATCATTTAAGAAGCCTGCATTATCCCGACAAAAACCTTCCAATGAAGAAAACCAATACATTGTTCTACAATGTGTTATCGAAAATCCACAAACTTCTACCAGAGAAATTGAAGACCAGAATGGGGTAGCTAAATCTACAGCTCAGTTTATTTTAAGGAAAAATGAATTTAAGCCTTACAAATTCAGAATATGTCAAGGATTAAAACCGGGTGACGACGAACGAGGTAGACATTTTTGTGAGTGGTATACCAGGATGTGTGATGAGAGTTTTAATTTTCCATATAAAGTGATTTGGTCTGATGAAAGTATGGTGACCAATAACGGTATTTACAACAGGCGCAATACACACTATTGGTCGCAACAAAATCCACGTGTTAATAGACTATCCAGACATCAAGTTCGCTTTGGGTTTAATATTTGGTGTGGGATTTTTGGTAGCAAGATTATAGGCCCTATTTTCTATAATAATTCCTTAACTTCCGAGCGGTACCTTGACATCTTGAGGCACGATTTAGAAGATGCCTTAGATGATTTACCGCTAGGCGCTGTGCAAGGCTGCTGGTTCCAACAAGATGGTGCCCCAGCCCATAACTCCAGAGAAGTTCGCCAATATTTAACTGAACGGATTGATGGAAAATACATTGGGACTTACAGTGAAACACCTTGGCCTCCAAGGTCCCCGGACTTAACTCCCTTGGACTTTTTCTTATGGGGCTACATAAAAAATGAGGTATTCAAAGAATGTTTTGACAACGAGGAACAATTACGTCAATCAGTACGAGCAGCGTTTAATAAAATTACTCCTGAAATGTTAAGTCGTGTTTTGGAGTCTACCGTGAGACGGGCGTACTTATGCCTAGAAAATGGAGGTCATTTATTCGAACATTTGCTATAGAATTTGTTTTTCATTAACTTGTTGGATTTAGTTGTTATGTTAAATGAACAGTTAGAGTTAGTAAATAAATAAACATATTAACTCGAACTTGTCAACCATTTTCTTTTGCCTTTCATCGTTCGGATCTCATGGCCTACTACAATAAAATACTAGAAATGTATTAAAAAGCCATTTTTCTGGATAAAAACATAAGTAACCGTATTGTATCGTACATCGTTGAATTCGCAATGAAAAGCACAACCTAATACTGTGTGTACTTTTTTTCCGTCCCATAAGAAAAATCAAAGTTGATGGTGGTTCCATGGAATCGAAACGCTGTAATGAAAATTTGTTAACGTCAATTTGGAGAGATTAAAAAGTGCCAATGGAAAAGTGTTTTCCGTTTTTTCATATCTTTTCAAATAGCTTTAAAAAATAATAAAAACGAAATCGCAATATTTCGGTTTTTCTCGGATATTTCCGGAACGGCTTGGAATTTTCAAATTTGTAAAACGGGATCTTGTTCGGTATCAAAATGCGCAACTTTTGTCTAATTTAACCGACACTGTATCTCTTATAGTTTCCGAGATCCCCATGCTGTGCATCCTTATCTTGGACACACTGTATATATATACACTTCGAACAAGTGTTTTCGGAGCGCGAGCATTGAAGATGCCAAGTGAGATTTTGGCGAAACGTCCGCAGGATTCCAGTCGGATGCAGGATTTGCAGGATTCCAGTCGGATGCAGGATTCCAGTCGGAGTTCAACGAGCGAACGGATGATATCCCGGAGTAGTGTCATCATATATATATATATATATATATATATATATATATATATATATATATATATATATATATATATATATATATATATATATATATATATATATATATATATATATATATATATATATATATATATATATATATATATATATATATATATATATATAAATATATATTTAAATTCCTCATAAGAAACTAGTCCAACAAAACCCAAGTTAAAAATCTTGATCTCAATAAACGATTCTCAAGGTATATCTCATACGAATTTAGGATGCACTGTACAAGGTTGGCCAAATTGGACACTTTTAAAGGGAGACTTCAATTTCTATAGCAGATAGACGAAAACTAATGTCAGTGTCTGGAACTCAGTTTTCATTTATACAAAATCGCTGTAAAGAAAACTCAAGAAAAATATCAACCATGCCATATTTTTCAAAGGGAATTTTAGGCTTTTTTCGATCACCCAAAAATGTACATGGTGTCCCATATAAAAAATCAATTTTTTGGTTAATCACTAATAAAACACTAGTATTAAGAACATTATATAAATTCTGACTAAAAAAATGCTGTATAAATTTTTTCATAGAAACAGAAAACTTTGCATAATTGAAAAAATTACAGCGACTTTTAAAAAGTGCACAAAAAACACCCTATAACTCTGGAACTCAAAGAGATATCCAAATGCAGCTTTTACTACTGTTTTTTTATTTTAGAAAAATTGAGCTCCCGACGCCTACATTAATTTTCTTATAATCTCCTTTAGCAAGGGTAGTTTTTCTCTTTGCAAGTGTTTAATTTTTTCCTGTTCTGTAGGAACATCTATCGAACGTGAGTACCAATTTATGTTAATACGAAATTAAATTATCTGCGAGGTAAACACTCGACAGTTTCGCCGAATAACATTTTTAGCTCTTTAAAATGGAATTAAAAAAAAAGTAAAGTTCGTACATTGTACAAAAGGATTCCTTCTTGCTAGCGTCTCACCAATTATCCTGTTGGCTTCTTCAGAGCTTGACTGAAACCGCCTCGTATTTTAGTCTTCCTATATTGGTGAAACGTAAAGACCTGAGTCGCGGTTAAGATAGATTTCTATAGACTCTCGGACTTTTCGCAAGAATTTTAGTTTGATCCAATAAAATTTTATGTCCGGTTTCGTAACTGTGTTCGGTAAAATGTTCTTTCAGCCTGGTTGATATTTTTGGTACGGTATCTCCAATGTATTCTTTGCCCCATACATGGAATGCTGTAAACTGCTGGCATCTCAAATAGAATTTTGTCTTTAACGGATCGAAGATGTTGAGAGATTTTTGGACAAGTGGTAAATCTGGTTTTGACGTAATATTTCTTTAGAACTTAGTGATGTTTTGAATTTAAGGAAGTAGCAAGTACAGGATTGCTTTCGGCATCATTGCTATTGGATGCCTGTGGAAGTTTACTAGGCATCTATTAAATCAATCTAAAGTAAACAATTACATAAGTTGCAAAATCGATTCGGCTTCAGATAACTGAAAACTGCATTTAGTTTTATAAAGACTTCTTGTGCGATTACTACCCATCTCTCGAGAGGCAACGAGCACCCGTTTGACCTTCGTCAGTGCGCCGCTAATTTTATATAAGTATGGGAGTCATAAGGCAGATGTTAATTCGGTTCAGTCTCGTGCGTGATAGAGATGGCAGCTGGTAACAAACCACTTGTTTACGTTTCGCCGCTGAACGAAAGATTCGCAGTACCGGACGCTCCAAAAAAATGTCTTTGGAAAGAGAGTCTCGGAAAAAACATCCCGTCGCCGCACACGAGAGAAAACTGGTGCGAAAAATGGTACGTTTTCCGCCCCAATTTTCGATAATTGGAACCGTTGTAGGAAACACAATTACAAAATTTACCCCGACGTACTATCCCTGATCGGGAACACGCCCATGGTGAAGCTGAACAAGATTCCCAAGGAATACGGATTGACATGTAACGTCTGTAAGTCTTAGTAACCTAATATTTTTGTATTTTGTAGTTTTCATGATTTGAAGTTAAATCCAAAAAAGTTGACTAATGGATGAAGAGTTTGTCTCACACTTCTTAAATCTTACCAAAAACAATTATTCATAAAAAGGCTCTTGTAAATCGCTAATTCATAATAAAATAACACTTCTAAAACACTATTCTATGAAATATAAAGGAAATAAAAGAATCGCGTTTCTTAAAAGCACTCTACATTACTCTTTACTTTTACTTTACTTTAATTTGGTTCAAAATGCAGGGTTGTTTACCCACCTGGAAAGGAGGAAATTGTTCCTCATGACATTTCACTTTTTCGGTCACATCGAATACAATAAGTATTTCGTTTGAATGTGGAAGGCGAGGAAGAATGTTAAAACTGAAAAAAAATCGAACTTGTGACTGTGCGGTTAAGTCAAATAAAGGCAATTGAAGTTCGAAGTTCTTTCATTTCCATATCCGAATATGTCTATCCGTAAATTCAATAATATTTAAAATAAATACGGAAAATGTTTCAACAAAATATTTTTAAGTAGTTGCTGCGCTCCATATCACATGAAAAGGGTCACTGCCGAGGGCGGCAATTCTTACACAAAAACTGAAAGGATGAATTTGTCATGTGATTTTAAATTCGTATTTAAGTTACACAACACACACATTTCTGCCGGGTATAACTCTTTTGTGTGCCGCTACTGACAAAAATTCAAATGATCGACAAGTGTGTGTGTTAATGATTTTCCAACAAACTATACCTGTAGATTAAAAACGCAACAGTTAATCTAATAATATATAAACAAATATTTCCTATCTTTTACTTAATCGAAAAACAATAATGTAAATAGACCTAATACACGGGGTTTCCAATTTTATTAATATTAATTTTCCAGTCGTCAAATGTGAGTTCCTCAACCCCGGCGGTTCAGTCAAGGACAGGATGGCGAAAAGGGTATTTGAAGATGCGGAAAAGCAAGGACTCATCCATCCTGGCATGACCATCATCGAACCCTCGTCCGGCAACACCGGCATCGCCGTGGCCCTCATATCCGCCATTAAGGGTCAGTATCACGCGTGCTTTCTCCCTTTTTATGGTGCTGAGAATCATCTATGACAACATTGCCAGTTTTCGATCTGCTCTCAAAGTTCCTTCAACCGAACTATAACCCGGATAGACATCCTTTGGGTATATCAAATTAGTCAATACATTATCCATGCAGTCCAGGCAACTGTGCTTTTATACGCTACTATTACTTTTGTTCAAACTTCTGGACCTCCAGTAATGGTTTTTGGATATCCTGTAAATATTTACTGTCGGATAGTGATAGTACAAAGCAAGGCATACCACAAATTTCAAGGATTCTAATAATTCCTTCTAATAATGTTGTTCGATTATTCTAATGCAAGATGTTTTCATGACTGGACACACTCACTTGAGACGTTGAAACTCGTGTAAAGTGTGTTCTTAGATATAAGAAAGTGACTAATTGATAAGAATTAAGGAAAGACCCAGGCAAGCTGTAAGAATGAAATATGGCATAACAGGTCCGTACTTTGCTTAGAATTTAATTATTTGGGGTTTTGTTAGGAAAGATACTAAACAATATTTATTTATTTATGTATGTATTTATGTTTAAATCTATAATAAAATTACAAATTATTTTTATTAGCTACTTAAATTACTTAAAATTATTCACATAATATATCAGTATCACTATCGCTCTCATCGCTTGATCTAATTATTATTTGTTCTATATTATTTGCAATATGGATATACAATTGTTCTGCTTTTTCTATATATTTAACAGAATTGGCATAACTTTGTGGAGGAGTGTTAAAAACTTCGGTTTCTATAAGTTTGAGGACATTGGAGTTAACACGGGGAAAAACATTGTTACGACGAATGGCAGATTTCAGTTGGCGCCAAACATGTTCAATGGGATTAAATATACAGTGGTAAGGTGTAAGGTAAGCCTTAAAACTGTATGCCCTAGATTTTTTGCATAATTATCACAGACGTATTTCTTTTGTATGTTCAAGCTTTGTAGAACCTCAATTAATTGCTTTTTGGTATAACCTTCGTGAAAATAAATGTCGTTTTTATACATGTAGTTTTGAATTGTTGCTTTTGTGTCACATGAGGAAGGGGTTTAGTCAACTGTCTACTGGTCTACTGTGATAACTTGCATTGTCCATTACAATGACGCTATTAGGAGGAATGTTTGGAACTATTTGGTTTTTAAACCAACTTTCAGCGGTGGTGTCTTCATGGCAATCCAGAGAAGAATCTTTAATATTTTTCGCAGACAGAGAAAGTCCATTTGAAATACAACCATCTTTAGAGCCAGCCCTTTTCCGGGGTATCATAAGTGTCGAACCATCTTGATCACTTTCATCTACACTCGAGAACATGTCAGCATCGCTTCTTTTTTTCCTCGCTGAAATGGGATTATTCACAATTTTTCCAGTTGATGTTGGAATTTTCGTCAATGTGGCCGTCCTATAACAGCCGCCAGAATAAGATTATCCAATATCCAGTCACTCCTTTTTCAGGTTACAAATGCGTCATCGTCATGTCCGAGAAAATATCGCAAGAAAAGGAAGCAGTAATTACGTCACTCGGAGCAACGGTAGTGAGGGTACCGGTTACTGAGGACTCTTTTTCGCCCAATGGTCTTTTTGGTACCGTGGCGCGCTTGCGTCAAGAAATTCCAAACTCTTTTGTGTTCGATCAGGTAATCGTCCAGAGCGTAGACAAGATATTATTAAAGAATGGAAGCCTCACTGTTTAGACGATTATCAACAAATGTGGCGCCATTTTTTCCATATCTACACATAACATAAAAGATTTAGGTCAACTGAATCGATTAATTAAAGCTATAATAAAAGTACAATTTACAAGCCCTCAAACTTTTTGTGGTAGATATGTCAACGTGAACATAGCATAAAGTGTGTGAAAATGTTTTATTATTTACCAAAGAAATTTATAACGTTCTGCTTCAGGCTAAATCAAAGAATACTCTATTATATTCAGCACTTAGGCACTCAGACTGCCAGCTCCCGAAAGGCATCAAATGTTTAACAAAATTTTCAATGTGATTGAGCACACCATGATTGACCGCATATCCCAAAAAGTTTTAGTTTAGGACACGGTATAATAAAGGATGTTTCAAAATTCAGTACCCATATTTTAGGAACATTTTTTTGAAACTGAAATTACGTTTTTTTGAGGGACCTACAGATTGGTGAAGTTCCAAGATTTATAGTTACTTTAAACAAAAGTGTCAAATCAAACAAACCAAATGAAATGAAACCAAAAACCCAAAATCAATATAGCAGTTAAAGCTCACTACTTTTTCCCATTTTACCGTTAAAAATTTTCATTAAAATTAAATAAGAATATCGAAATGCATACATTTTAACAATCAATCGACATGGTGGATGGGTCACATGGTTATCAAGAGTCTTATTTTAACTTGAAAGATATGCCCCTAAAATGTGGCAACTGAAGTTTGAAACGTTGTGTATTGCAAAATATATATAATTATCTAAAGTAAAAAGTAGACAGTCTCTTCACTTTCATCTTTTTCCAGTTTTCTAATCCATCGAATCCGTTGACGCATTACGACACTACAGCCGAGGAGATTCTGGATCAGTTGGACAACAAAGTGGATTTAATCGTAATATTCTACGACGACCTCTGCAGTCTTTTAGTCACAATAATCGTTTAGGTTTTCGGCGGCGGTACCGGCGGTACGATCACCGGGATTGGCAGGAAATTCAGAGAAATCTCGCCAAACACGAAAATCGTGGGCTTCGATCCGGAAGGGTCGCAGTTCGCCTACCCGCCGGAGCTGAATCGGTCAGACACAAAGTTCTGGGAAGTGGAAGGTATGGGGTACGAATTCATTCCCGCTACTCTGGATCAAGCAGTCTGCGACTACTGGATAAAAACGACCGACATGGAAGCGCTGCCACTAGCTCGCAAGCTCATGAGGGACGAAGGATTGCTAGTCGGTAACGATAAATTTTTCGATTTTAATCGTCTTGGCGTAACAGGCGAGCATATACATCAAAATAAATAGTTTTGTGTGTGTGTGTGTGTGTTGAAAGTAAAAACTTAATTTTCGAAAGATTATAATAATTTTGAATAAGGAAAAAGATTTTAAAACCATGGACTTTTGTGAAATTTCCGAAGATTCAATGTTCAAAAACGAACATGAAACAACCTGAAATATCATTTAAGTCATACGTTTTGAACACGGAATTCTCTTTTCTAATATGAAATCAAAACAGTTTCAGTTGTACAATGTAAAAAAATGATTCATTGTTGCCCCAGTAACAGAATTCAAGCAAATAGCTCATTAGCAGCTGCCTATTCTCGTCTTCCCCTTCCTTGATCCTATATTACGTTATTAAGTTAAAGTTTGGGTTTTAATAATATCTGGTTAGCCTTGTTAGATGTCTGAATTTGTAAGGCCTTTGCTACTCCCATATTATAAACATTGATTTACTTATATCTCATTTATTATTATTAAGTATGAAAGCACTTGCTAGGAGGTTTAAACCAATAGCAAAAAAGTTAGTATGCTTAATCTATTTTAAAATTATTGTACTTTTTCAAGGTCATTCGTAATATAGATTTCACTGTCACATATTGTTGCGCCATTTTCCACAAACCACACAACAACGTAAAAATGTTAATAAGCTGGTCAAAGGTTGAAACTAAGATATAAACATTTTGAAATACATCCAAAGGGGTTCCTTTACCGTTAGCAGACCAACAATGTTACTCTCGTTTCGTTACAAAATTCGTGAAAAATGTAGGCATGAGCGCCGGGGCGGGGCTAGCGGCGGCCATCAAGGTGGGTAAGGAGTTGAAAGCAGGTCAAAACGTCGTCGTCATTTTGCCCGACAGTATCAGAAACTACATGACCAAGTTCGTGTCGGACCAATGGATGGAAGCAAAAGGCTACCAGCCTTGTGTCAACAAACTGAACCTTTGGTAATCTGATTGAAAAAGTAAAAACCACCGTGAAACGATTTTTTTTTAGGTGGTGGGACAAAAAGGTGTCAGATTTGAAATACAAAAAGGCGCTAACTGTAAGCGCAGACGAGCCGCTAGCAAACGTCTTGGATGTCCTGAAACGGAACAACGCACCAGGGGCGTGCGTGCTAAACCGAGACGGGTAAGTGTGTTTCGTGTTTGCTAAAAATGTTTTAAAAATGTACCTTTTTATGGTATAGCACACTGCTAGGAACGGTCACAACACAAGCAGTGAGAAACAAACTTATATCCGGGACAGCGTCGTCTGATGACCCGATTACCAGGTTTACCGTTCGCGTTTTACCAAAATTGGACATCAATTCAAGTTTGGGCAGGGCGTCCCGAATTTTGGAAAAGGATCCTTTTGCTATCGTTATCGAAATTCGAGGTTCGGTGGCAATTAAATCCGCTAGGTAGCTCTGCAACATCACAAAGCTTTTGTTTCAGGATCGGGATCATCGAGACAAGAAATTCCCATAGGATCCATCGAAGGGGAGGACTTGCTGGAATACATCTCACGACGTTAATTCAGTTCTGATATTGTCAGGAATAGACACTTATGGCAGATCTTTAATAAATAAAAATGAAATTTAAAATGTGTTTTGGTGATTATTTAGTTCCAAGAAAAATAGCTTGAAAGCTGACCTTTTTTCAAATGTATAAAATCCCAATCCCTAACAATTTAATCTTTTGGTTAGTTTTAGTGGCAGTCAAAAATGTTTAAATTCAAAAATTCAAAACTGATGGATTTTCGAATGCTACCAAACCCTAGCAATGTTACAACATTAAAAGGACATCAAAATTTTCAAATCCCAATGATTGGTAAACATATATTCCAGATAAACATTTTAATAGTTAAGTGGCAACTGTTAAACTGCAACAAACTCAAAATTATAAATATATAAATGATAATATGACACTATGTACTCATCTTTTATTATACTTATCATATTGAAGAATGAGACTCTCGATGTGTTCTAAATACTCAGACGAAGACAGAGGTCGTATTGTATTTACAAAAACATGCTTCTGTCCAATATTGTATTCTCTTAATTGGCCGAAGATAATAACATGCTTTCCTGGGAGATCTTCATCAAAAATGAATAACTCAACATGTGCAGTATGCATAATTTCCTTGTTTATGAGCATGATTCCAAATGCATCAACATCCCCTGGATTTGCCAAGTGAACTTTCAGTTGTTCCTCATATTCGGTTTCTGCTTTCTGCACTTTGCTGATGTTGGGTGACTTAATTATACAATTAATACTTGAAGTACTATCATCTACAATCAAAATGTGGTAACCATTTTTGAACATGACGGAAGTGATGGTCCCAGATAATTCCACTTGAACAAAGGGTAGGTTTTCTAAAGAAAAATACCGGCCATCACTTTCCTTCGTTGCTGTCAGCAGATCTCTTACAAAGTAACGAGCGCGTCGGCCTCTATCGGGGCACTCTTGGAAGCGCTTAGAAGTCCCTTCTGCATAACTTGATGCCCCATCGGAATCGTACATATCATTGGACTGTAAAATATTTGTATTTTCAAAACGGCGTTTCGTATGTGCGACACGTTTTACGAGATCATAATTTGAATCTAGTTTTCACATACCATGGACAAATAATTTCTAATCCGCACAATTGTACATTTTTTCTAATATATATTACAAAGCTGCTGGCCACTCGACCAGAATTGGAAGTGACATAACCTTTAAGCACAGTAGACACGATGCAATTTCTATATTTCTATATATTTTTATGCAGATAAAAATTGCTGTTAAAAATGCAATAACTGGAAATTTTTTGATGCAATTTTTCGATCGAAGTGGGCTTGATTACTTTGGTGGAATTTTGTTTTTAAAGGTTGTTATTTAAATTTTGATATAAACCAACTTTTAAGCACTTGTTGGTGCTAAATAGCTAAATTTCATACAAAAATGTGTTTACGTTATATTCACCAAACTAATTTAACGCATGAGCAAATTATGGCACTCGATTTCAATTCAATTCAATTATGCGTTTCCCAAAAAATGTTGGGCTCGACTGCTAGGATCATTCGCCCATTGCCGACTTCCGTCGAGGATCTTCGCTTTTGGTCATGGACCAACACGTACAAAGAAGACATATAACCAATATTTGCTCAACTAGCAAAAAACAAATTTGACCGATACCAAAAAAAACCGACACCCCCCGCTACCGCCGCGGACCATCCGGGCCCATCCGGCCTCCATACCGGCGTGAACGGGGAAAAACGGCGACGATTATCACTTTACAACGTTCACAAAACACTGAAAACACTAAATCCACTCAGTGGAGACCGATTTCAAAATTTTTGGACGATTACAAAGGATTCTGTAGGGAACGAACGGAGGTTAAACCGCCGCGTGCAATGTTCCACCACAGAATCGACACTCGATTTCAATTCAATTCAATGATGCGTTTCACAGATAGCTGTTGGGCACGACTGCTAGGATCATTCGCCCATTGCCGACTTCCGTCGAGGATTTTCGCTTCTGGTCAATGACCACCACGTACAAAGAAGAAAAATAACCAATAATTTACTCAGCTAGCAAAAAACGATTCTGACCGATACCAAAAAAATCGGCTTCCCCCCGCTTCCACCGCGGACCATCCGGGCCCATCTGGCCTCCATACCGGCGTGAACAGGGAAAAACGACGGGGCCGACGACGATTATCTCTTTAAAACATGCACTGAACACTAAAAACACTAAGTCCACACAGTGGAAACCGATATCAAACTTTTGAGGACGAATACAAGGGATTCTGTCGGGAGCGAACGGAGGTTTAACCGCCGCGTGCAATGCTCCACCACAGAATCAACACTCGATTTGAAATCACACAGCGACTATCTTCTTCTTCTGTGCGACGGGCTAAACATCAACTTAAAAAAGACAGAAACTAAGTAACCTACTTTTTACCAAAAGTAAAAATGAAGCTGGAAATCTCTATTTAAAAAGAAAATGGTGCAAAGTGCAAGTTAGTGGATGAAATGTAGAGGCACCAGTTTTGCTATATGAAAAACGAATTCATTCTGAATAATAAATACCTGACGTTTTATCTTTTTTCATTCCAGCCGGTACTGGCACATACGGACACGCACACATAAGTAACTTAATTTGTTCTAAATTTGGGATTATCGGACATGCACTACAATGACAGTATAATGATCAGAGGATACGCACCAAGGTCAGTTTTAATGCCTATTATGGTCGAATATTACGAAACATAACTAAAAAAAAAACCTAAAAAAAGGTGCATCTTCTGTTTGCTTCTCATTACAATAATTGTTGTACTCATTCGGCAAAACTATGCTCCAAATAAACTTATTCAATCATGGAAGTTTTGTTTGAAAACGCTAGATTCGTATTGAAAGCATTGACGTAACCCAGCCAGTTGAAAACTTATTTACTTACATATTATTACTTACTTACATATGGTCAAGAAAGTGTTTGTGTAGGTTGTTGGAAAAAATGCGAAGTGCTTGTATAGCAGAGTAGTAGTGAAATTGATATGCAGTAAATTGTAACTACATTTTTCATAAACTGCAATACACATCAGATAGCAACCGCAAAATATCTACCTCTAATTAAAATTTAGCTTTATTTTGGAATGGCGAAAAAGGGAACATGAGGCATGGGAAAAATCCATTAAATACATTTTAAAGAATATATTTTAAAAAAAATGAAAGAAATCAATATAAAAAACGAGGAGCAATCTTTTAAAAAATCTTTATTAAAAAATACGCTTAATTTGTACATTTTTACATTTCACATACGTTTCACGACAAAATATTACATACGATTCGCAAAAATAGGAAAATTTGGTTAACAACTCGATCGAAGTTCGAGTACTTATCGCACTCGCTAAATTCGGCGAGACGAAAATGAACTAACACAGCGACAAATATTTACATGTGCAGCGACAATAATTTAATGTGGATATTATGTTACACGAAAGTCGTCTTACTGCTAAAAAAATGGCAAAGACGGAAGTCCGTCCGGGGGTGAGCACTATCTCGACATTGGAAAAAAATATATTTACAATCGGTATATTATCAGTCTCTAAATAAACGGTATATTTATCGTGTAGCACAGCCAAATCGCAAACGCGGATCTTGTTACGTCACACACACGTTTCGACGACGAGTGAGACAGAGAGCACTAGGACTCATGAATACGCAGCCAAGTTCGCGTCGCTATAATAATCGAGAAATTCGTAAAAGAAACTAAATTTCCAGGCGGGGATCTGTCCGCATTTTTCGATCGATTCGATCAAACTTGGACGCCACTTTTCATTCTGGGGATAATTTTTTTCAAAATTCACCAAAAGAACATATGTCAAGTGCATTAAAGGGGTCAATGGTTATTCCGCTATCGAGCCGTTGCAGGACAGACGGTTTCGCTTCCGAGTCTGCGTATTCGCGCGACCATTAACTCAACTTCGCGCATCACTATAACCTTAACTCCGCGTCCACGACAGTTTTGCCTCTGGTCGGCGGCTGTTGCTGTCTCGCCATGACGTGGTGCGCGGTCGACAACCCGGGTGCCACCAGCGGCGATATCGACGGCGATTTGGTCGCGAGAGGCGATAGCGACGGCGAAAAGCTGGGTGACATCGCCGTCGACGTGCTGAACGTCGTACCGGAGGCGTCGTGGTTGATCGGCGACCGAGGCAGCATCACCATCTGAGCGTGGCCGGCGGCGCGAGCACTCAGTGCCGGCATCGCAATCGATCTTGGCGCGACGCTGGTGATGAGTGGCGGCGGCACCGACTTTGCCACCGACGTTTTGCTCTTGACGCTCGACGCGGCGCTCGCTCCGCTGTGCACCGACGACGACGCCGCCGCCGCGTCATCCTTGAGCCGCGCTATTTCGGAGAAGACATGCGCCAGCGGCTGATACTGCGGGCCCCAGTCGAGCAGGTAGTCCCAGTTGTAACTACCGGCCAGTTCTTCCTCGCTGTGCACGATCGAGCTTAGCGAGCCGTTCATCGACGGCTGGTGCGTGACCGCCGGCACTTCGCCGTAACCCCCGATAGCCATCACGTGGTCCATCGAAGCCCCGACTCCGCCCCCTTCGTCCGCCGAACTGGTGCTGCCGGTAACGTCGTTCAGTTTCGCGTAAATCAACTGCGTGATGTCGTTTTCCGCGTTGGCCGCCTCCTCGTCGAACATGCGCAGCTGGTGGTGGTGCAGCGATTCCTTGCTACTGCCCGCTCTCGCGTCCGAGCACAGTCGCGTCGCCGTCTGTGCGTGCGCGCCGATGCCTAACCGGGCGAGATACTCTTGCGTGTTCCTCACGGACAGGTCCGACAGGTTGTCATCATCGTCGTCGCCGTTTTGCCGGTGGATACCAGAGTCTCTTTGCAACGGGCCCTCGTTTATCATCCGGATCTCCTCGTCCTCGCCGTCCTCGCCGTCCTCGGCCGAACCCCTGCCGCTCGAGCCGGACTGCTCCGAGCCAGACAATTCGGAAGTGGTGGCGGCGCCGGAATTGGAACTAGCCGGATGGGCAGCCCCGTACGGCGGGATCTCGTCGTATTTGGGCGGCGCGAACTGGTTCGGCCCGGCTCCGCCCCTAATGGTGTCGAACGCGCTCGGGTCGACGTAGTTGTTCGACGTCGACACAGTCTCGGAGCCGAGAGTCGGCTTATTGTTTTTCCGGTTGCGTTTGTTCCGCACGTGGAGGAAAACGAAAGCGGCGCCGAAGGTGACGACGAGCAGCGCGAGCGAGATGACGAGGCCCAGAGCCCAGTCGGAGATGCCGCTCCGAGGTACCGTCGCGTTGATAGCGAGATTCGTGCCCGGGTCGGCCAGCGGGTCGAGCACGATCTCGACGACGGTCATGTTGGTAAGGGAGCCCTGCCGGCCGGAACTAGCCGATACCACGAGACTGACCTCGCGGCCTAAAGACGCGTCGTCCAGTTTCCTTTTGATGAGAACAGCGCCCGACGTGCGGTTGATTTTGAAGTGGGCATGCTGCGCCGTGAGTTGGTAAACGACTCGGCCGTCCGGCCCTTTGTCCTTATCGGTGGCGACGACGAAACCGACCACGTAACCGACGATTAGCGGTACCGACGTGGCCAAAGTGTATCGGTACGTTCTCTCGGTGAACTGCGGGTAAAACTCGTCCCTGCTCTCGACGTTCACTTGGACTTTGACCGTGGAAGATTTGCCACCCGCGTCGGTCGCCGTCACAGCAAAATTGTATCTCGTGCGACGCTCGTAATCGAACGAGACGCCGGCACTGACGATACCGGAATCGACGTCGACGGCGAACCATGCGGCGTCCGGGCCTCCGTTGATGGAATAGTTGATCTTGCCGAAGGGTCCTTTGTCGAGATCGACGGCGCGTGCGGTAAATATGGCGGTGCCGACTGGTTCGTTCTCCTCCAGACCGGCCACGTACTCGGCGAACGGGAATATCGGGTCGTTGTCGTTGACGTCTTCAAGGGTGATCGTCGTCGGGATCAACGAGCAGAGGGGCGGATCGCCGCGGTCGCACGCCCTGACCACCAGGTGGTACTCAATGTCGCCGCTGTCGTAGTCCAAGATCGAGTTGACGTATAGCACGCCGGTTTGAGAGTCGATGCGGAAAAGGCGGCCGGCATCGCCGGAAGCGATGTCGAAGATAACGTCCGCGTTGGGGGTGCCGGGGGCGTCGGCGTCGGTCGCGCTCACGCGCGTTATCGAAGCGTCGACGGGCACGTCTTCGGGAACCGTCTCGACGCGATCCGCTTCGACGAACACAGGCGCGTTGTCGTTGACGTCATCGACGGTGATCAGGACGTGGACGAGTGATACGGCGCCGCCGTCCAGCGACACGACGATGTCATATTCGTCTTTCTGTTCGCGGTCCAGGCGTTTCGTGAGCGTCAGCGCACCCGAAGATATCTCGAAGACGTCGTCGTCATTGCCGGAGAGGATTTTGAAATCGGACGACGTCCTGTCCGCAGCTTTAGTTAGATGGACGACGACGGTGCCGACCGTCGCGTTTTCGGCGACGTTAGTTTTGTATTCGTTGCCGGGACCACCCAATGCTGAACGTCCGCCCACTTTGATCCTGACGGTAGCGACGGAATGCAAGATGGGCGTGCCCGAATCTTCTGCCTTGACGGCGATCACGATATCCTCGGATGACGAAACGTTGGAGGCGTTCACCCTGACGATGCCGTCTTCCGGACCGACAAACACGCTCGGTCTGGGGTTCACGATCGAATATCTACCGCGAGAAAGTGAATTTAAAATTTTTGATCCGATTAACGAATCGAGAGTGGCATTACAAACTCATTAAAATGAAAAAGAAAACTGATAAAACGTCCTTTTCGTCTATTCGTAATTTTGACGGCTATTGGCAATAGCTTGGAGACCATTTAAATTTAACACCCCTCATAGAGGCGTCGATATTTGGTGCTTATATATTAGTTATCGTCGACGACGACTTACCTAACAATACCGTTGCCCCCGGAGTCCGGATCGGTAGCGTTTACCGCGACGACGTCCGTCAGCGACGTCGTCGTTGCCTGAACGTCCGGCAACGTCGCCTCGTACGCCATCTGCGAGAAAACAGGCGCGTTATCGTTGACGTCCGTGACCTTGATCGTCAGTGTGGTACGTGCGACGTGCACCTCGTCCGACGCGGACACGCCTAGCTCGTACTCTTGCCACGCCTCAAAATCCAGCCTCCTCTTGAGGAGGATCTTACCGGTGTACCGGTCGATGCCGAAGTACCGCACGTACTCGGGGTCAGTGTCCGACGTGAAATTGTACGTCAGTTCGGGGTACGTGTCCACGTCGTTGGCCGTAATTGTCGTCAGCACGGTACCGACCTCGGCGTCCTCGCCGACTTTAACGACGCTCCGCGGCGGAAACGTCGGCCTGTTGTCATTAACATCGACGACGTTGACTCGCACTTTGGTCGTACCAGTCATTTGGGGTACGCCCTCGTCGGTCGCTATTACCGTAAGACGATAGTTGTCTCTGATCTCCCGATCCAGGACGATATTGGTCTTGAGAATGCCGCTGAAGGCGGGCTCGATCTTGAACGCGTTGTCGTGATTACCGTCAACTATGTGGTAAAGTATGCGCGAGTTCCGGTCCTGGTCGGCGTCGGAAGCGACTACCTGCATCACAAATGAACCCTTCTTGTTCCCCTCCCACACCGAAGCGGTATACTGCTGCTGCGTAAACTTGGGCGCGTTGTCGTTCCGATCGGTCAACCTAGTTAGTCGGAAAATGTTACTGTAACACGATACTGAAAACTAATTCACTCGAAGAACTTGGCTACGATATATATTTTGAAGGACCATATCAGAATGTTCAGCAAAACCGGTAATATTTTTCAATAACTAATAAAAAAAAAGTATGTTTTCGAAACAAACCTACAGTTTTTAAATAATGGGTTCTCCAAATTGTAAATGTGATATATAACATGTTCCAGAGGGTAACACTTAGAAATAGCAGAATATAGTAACTTTTTGCTCATTTATTTGTATGAAATTAAATAGTTTTACTAATCAATTTCTAACGACAATACGATAAGATTTAATATATTTGAAGAGTTGGACATTTTTCAACGTTATAAGAAAGTCTAGATCTAGGAAAAGCTTAGAAATGTTTGGCCTAATCTCTGTACAACTTTTGATGTCCTCCCTCGCCTTGTTTTCCATAACAATGAATATTCTTCTTAGAAGGTACTAACCTAATCGTGACGTCACAGTAACCGTGCAGGTCGGGTCCGCCCTCGGTCTTTGCTTCCACCACAAGACGAATTTCGTGGTGCAGCTCATAGTCCAAGTTCTTCGGATCGCGCACCTGAATCATGCCTGACTCCGCCCCGATGACGAAGATGTTCTCCTCGTTTCCGGTGCCGAACGAGTACAAAATCTTTTGGCGTCGACCGTCCGTACGGACTGCGCCCACCTGGGCGACGTCCCGAAACTGTTCCAAATTCTCGGGAATGGTTACATAGTACGAATCGTTCTGGAAGCGGAGCTGGGGTGCGCCGACTGGCAAGTCGCCGACCGCTATTTCCACTAGGCCGGTGGAACTTTTGGACGGGTTGCCCTTGTCCGTAGCGGTTATATGGAGGAAAATTACTTTGCCGCTGTTGCTGGCCAAAGACTGCGTCGCCGTCAGTACCCCGGTGTTCGGGTTGATCCGGAACTTGCCCGAATCGCTAGCCATGTTGTACACAATGTCGGCGTTAGGTCCCTCGTCGACGTCTGTCGCCGTCACCTTGAGGATTGTCTGGCCAGGCTGAATGTAGGCGGCCACCTTCTGCCGGAACGGGTACTCCGTAAAGATAGGCTTGTTGTCATTGACGTCGCCGATGTGAACGGTCACCGGCACTTTGGCAGAGCGCGTGTTGTACTTGCCGCAATCCATCGCCACCACCATGAAGTTGTACTCTTTTTGGCGTTCGCGGTCGAACAATCTGAGCAGAACGTGTGACTTACCACTCCATATTTCTCAAAACTTTAATCACGACCTTTTGAGGAATGACAGAGTGGGGAATTATTTTGAGCGATTGTCAAACGATTCCCCATTTGGGTATCCAGAATGGCACTTAGGAACACGCTTAACATTAACAAAAGAATTTTCATTTTTCCATTCCCAATTCCGCATACTAGCTTTAAAAGAGCTGATTTTAATTTTTGGATAGAAAATCGCGAAGATGTTCCGTAAAAGTATAGCCAGGACCCCCTAAGTGAGTAAAACCAAAAAGGGTGTGGCTAAAAGAAAATAACGAAAGACACGCCTTAACGGTCGTGGCTAGAGAAAAACACGCCCCTTAGCGCAACCCAGTCCAGCAATATTTGCCCTTATCAGTGCGTACTTACCCGGCGGTCGTAATCACCCCAGTCTTGTTATCGATGCGAAACGACCAGTGACTCTCGTTGGCCAAATAGTAAACGATCCGGGCGTTCAAGCCGGCGTCGGCGTCGACCGCGTGGACCCTAAGCACCGATGTATCAACGGGTACGTCTTCCGGTATCGTCGTCGAATACTTGGACAGGTCGAACAGCGGATCGTTGTCGTTTTGATCCTCGACGAACACAGTCACGTTGCATTGCCCATAGAGCGGTGGAGTGCCGCGATCGCGCGCAGTCACCGTCAGCTGGTACCTGGACTGCGCCTCCCTGTCCAACGACCTGGCAGTGAGGTCGCCCGTTTTCGGGTCGATGCTGAACTTGCTCCTCGCGTTGCCGCCGGATATCGTGTAAGAAACGTCGCCGTTCGGTCCGGAATCGGCGTCCTTGGCGACCACAGTGTGGACGACTGCCTCCGCGCCGTTCTCCGGTATCGACAGACGATAACACGAACCGGACAAGAACGTCGGAGCATTGTCGTTGACGTCGACCACGATCACCTTTACACGTGTCACGTCGAAGAAGGCGGAGTCGTGGTCGCTGGCGTACACCGGGAAAGTGTAGCGGTCGACGGCCTCCCGGTCGAGCGTTTTCTTGGTGAAGATTTTGCCGCCGGGCGACGTAACCTCGAATGAATCGTCCGCGACGCCCGCGGGAATGACGTAGGTGACGTTCGACCTGTTTTGGCCAGTCCTGAGCTGCGCCACGTGGGTCCCAGTGGGGACGTTTTCGAGCACATCCGCTTCATAGACAGCGTCCAGAAACTTGGACGGATAGTCGGACGAGTCACGTACGACCAATTCCAGTTCGGTGCTCGTTTGCCTGGTAGGTATGCCGTGGTCTGTCGCCGTCACGTTCAGAACGTACGTGACAGTGGCAACGGGAAGTGGCTTGGCAAGCGTAACGTAGCCGGTGTCATAGCCCAGCGCGAAGAGCGACGAGTCCTTACTCCCGGCCATAACATATGTCACCCGGCCGTTGTCGCCGGCGTCGTCGTCGACGGCCACCACATGCGCGACCATCATGCCCACGGAGATGTCTTTGTCTATGAAGGCGGTGCGGGTGCGGGGGAAAACGAAATTCGGCGCGTGGTCGTTGTAATCGATAACTGATACCCTGACTGTGACGAGACCGCTCAAACGTTCGGAAACGTTTGACGCCTGATCCGTCGCTTCTACCACGACAATATGCTCTTTGGCCGCTTCGTAGTCGAGGGTCTTGGAAAGGGTTAACGTGCCAGTTAGGGGGTCGACGGAGAAGAGGTCGTCGCGCGGGAACTGACTTGACACGCGGTACCGCAGCTCCCCGTTAGCGGCGCTGTCGGCGTCGACAGCCCCGCATTTGCAAACGGAAGTGCCAGGTTCCGTTTCCTCACCCACCTGGACGGTGATGGGGTCCTGCGGCCACCTGGAAGGCGGGAAACGGGGAATAGTACAACGAAAATTGATAAGTAAAATAGGCATTCGACAATGTAAGCTTTCACGTGTTATTAAATAAGTTTCAAAATAATTTATATTGAATGTTATAGATAGCGTCGAACACACACGGTGTCCCACAAGGGTATTCCCTATATGTTCCAAACCTAAGATCTCAAAGCACAATGTTATACCTAACGATTGGTGTAATTAACTGTGTGGGGAAATCAACCGAAAGTAAATAAAAATGTGACTAAAAGAAAAAATTTAAAATTATTTTCAAATATACAGGATGATTAATAAATATATGGGAAACCAAACTTATACATTTTTTAAACAGAACACCCAGTATATTATGGCATACGATACTCCGCTTCATATTCAATCATCCAATGTAGGTTCGTTATGGTCTGTACTAAGTGTTCGGAATTATGGCGTTTTTTTCGTCCTATGTTTAATACTCTATATTTTTTACGCCGTTTCTGACAGCTGTAATTTTATTATGCCAACAATTTTATAAAGTGGTACAGCCATTTAATTTATACTTGTCTTGAAGTTTGTTCGAATCGTTTAAACAGGGTGTGTCAAAATTAAAAATATTAATTTTCGTGAAAAAATCAAATGCAACATGCTGCATATTATATTTCTATTAATTGCATTCCCTATACGTAAGGTAGGTGAGGTATACACATTTATACGAACAAAATACTGAAAAGTTTCAATCCGTGCGAAACTATCACAAAAGATAAGATTGAGAACAAAATAAATATTACCTGTACGTGAAAAGTCTACAGAGTCGAATTAAGTATAATTCGTATATTGATTATATTTTGACACCCAACCTACAAGGTTAATTTTGAAAGATCGCAAAAAAGTGTAAATTCAAAAGTTTGAAGATTTTTGCTCTCTTCTCTTATGGAAATGCCAGAAAACACAAACGACCATGGCAAGCTGTCATTTTGACATTTTGAAGATAATAGAGCAAAAATCTTCAAACTTTTGCATTTACACTTTTTTTCTAACTTTCAAAATTAACTCCGTAGGTGGGTGTCAAAACATGTTAATAATAAATGTTATAAATAATAAATCCGAAAACATTCAGTATAGACAATCTTACATTGGGTGATTGAGTATGGAGTATATATTAATATACATGATATATAAGTTGTCCCAAAATATAAGTTTGATTTCCCACATATTTATGATTCACCCTGTATTGTTTATTTAGTCTTATCTACAACTTTTGTGTTTAACATTTTCTTCTTAAGCAAACAATAAATGAGATATGCTTCTGTGACTTACGATTTGGGCACCCTCTATAGCTATTTGAAAATGTTAAAGACAAAATTTTTTGGTTATTAAACAAAAAAATAAAATTGTGAAAAACATTTACACATATAATCAGAGAGCAGAATATTTTACTAATAATATATTATGCAACAAGTTTGATAAACACCATTTTTGTCACAAGTCTAATTTGGCGAGCACAGGGCGTAGCCTAATAAACCAGCGATTGAAGAAGTTTATAAACTTGTTACATATTACATTTTTTTATATAAATTAATAATTTGTAAAATTAAATAACGTCGACCACCTACCTCGGAGCGTTATCGTTGACGTCGGCCACTTCGATCTTCACCGAGATGGCGCTGCTCTGGGGATTGTTCATGGCGCTGGTGTCCAAAGCCCTAACGTCCAGTTTATATTCAGCGCGCGTTTCTCTGTCGAGCTCGCGCGCGACTACTATCCTGCCAGTGTTGCGCTCGATATCGAAAGCGTCGGCGTCGATCGACGACGCTGAGGTCATGGTGTAGGTGACGTGACCGGCCGTGCTGCCTCCGATTACGTTCTCCGCGTCGTCGTCGTCGGGTTCCGTTACCGAACCGACGACTTGACCGATCCTCGCGTCTTCCCCCACCACAAATGTCAAGCTCGAGCTGGTGAACGTGGGTCTATTGTCGTTTAGGTCCAACACCTCCACGCGGAGCATCCTGACTGTTTGTTTTGGGGGCGTTCCCGCGTCAGTGGCGGCCACCGTTAGCCGATAGATCGTTTTCTCTTCGTGGTCGAGGACGACTTGCGTCCGGATCATTCCGGTGGTCGGGTTGATGACGAAACTGTCCGAATCGTCTGCCGTTTTGATGAGGGAGTAGGTGATGGACGAGTTGGCGCCGTTGTCCGGATCAATAGCCCGTATTTTCACCACTTCGGTGCCGGGCGACTGCTCCTCGCGCACGCTCACCACGTCCTCTTGAGGGTCGACAATTTCGGGCGCGTTATCGTTGACGTCCAGTATTGATATTTTTACGGGGACCCGCGTGCTCCGCGGAGGCACGCCTTGGTCGCGGGCTTCGGCGATCAGGTCGTGGTGAGGTTTCACCTCGCGATCCAACACCTCCTTGGTCGTTATTTCGCCTGCGATAAATTGACAAATATAATGAATTAGCCCCCAGTCTCTTATTGAAAATTGTGAAAAATTTGGATATCTGCTGGATCCTAAAATATTGAAATATTCCAAAATTTCAAATAATTTATAGCATTCCTTTATGGCGCATTTTGTAAATTTTGGAACATTATTTATTTTTAATGTAAGTCATTATGATCAGACTTGGTAGTTTTGGGAAGTGATTTCTATGGAACTTTTATTTACATTTACCTGACGCTTTTTGGTCCTGTGGGTTTCTAGTTAGTATATTAGGCAACAAGTTTAATAGAGGCCGCTTTAATCACGAATTTGATTTTTTCAGCGATCGTTCGTTTTTAGGTATATTTTTGTAAAACAGCACAAATAGAATTGGCAATCGTCAAAATACTTGCCTAAATGCCTAAAATCTACCAAAAAAACCAGTAACATTTTGAGTACGTATAATTGGGTTTTCAGAGTACTTTTTTGGGAAAATGCGACACTACGCGTTAGACAACGCAGATTTGTTGTTTGCCAGCGTTCCATCTCGAGACGACGTTAAAACGGCGTGGAAAATTAGTCCCATAGAGGCAGATCAATTATTAGCGTGAGTAAGAATTTTCTAATTGTCGTGCAAGGACCGCGGAGGAACGAAATGTGGATCGTGCACCGTGCGCTTTTGTTTATTACGTTCTGATTATTCCCGTACCGAAAAAAAATCACTTTTTATATTTTTAAATACAACTGTAAGTGTCATCAAACTGTCAAACTAAAATGAAAATATTCCCAAAGATATGACATTATTTCGAGTTTTTATTCCATTTACTGATGTTATAGGGAATATATAGGAGAGAGATATCGAAATGCGATTTTCATTAGCGTGTTGACTATTGACTATTGTTTGATGCAATAGAAGTGGTATGATCGAATTAATCTCTATCTCTAGCGGCGATACAAGCAATCCAAATCAATCCAATCAATCCGCTTTGATAGCCTAAAAAAGTTTGACAAAATGCGTTCAGCCATTCTGAAATTGTTGACATTTATTTCAGAAAATAATTTGGTAGAGTTAGACCAAAAAAAAAAATTAACGAAAACTAGTAGAATTCATCTCAGCTATAAAACTTTTCCACAAATTTAGTTAATTGACTACACACAGCACGTTTTCTTGCACGACGCATTGCTAAGCGATGTATTCAATACCTCAAACGCACTAAAACTGAAAAGCGAAATGAAAATGGTATCGTTTACTGAAGTCCATGAAGAGAATTAACAGACAAAACAGTATAACCATAGCTAACCTATTTTTATGGCATACGGTATACATTGTATCCCACTTGTAAAATCTTTGTTTTGATTTTGATTGTTTTTTTTTTTTGGATAAATATTTCAAAAATACACTAAAACCTGGATTTGCTTATTGCTTCAAGAGAGAAATACTATTAGGGATTTTTTAAAGAATAAATTGGGAAAGGATTCTTATTTAGGAGTATTTTGTTTCAATGCAGGGTGTTTGAAATATCGATTGAGCCCCGCTTAAGGCTGTACATTTTTGTAAAATGTTTGTTTACTTTTTGATTCTGATAATTTTACTTTTAATACATCTTTCAAAAACGCACTGAAACCTTATCTTATTATTGTATCAACCTGTAGCGAACTGAACTAACCAAAACTAACTGGGACTATTTTTTTATACCAAATATAGAGAAAGGCTATTAGGGATTCTTTGAGAATAAAGTGTATGTATAAAGTAATAGCGAATTCTTATTTAGCACGACTTAAAACCTAACTAATTTCCATGAAGGTCGAACACAGGGTACTAGAAATATCGTGGACGCCTCTTTTAAACACTACTATCGAATGTTTGTTTATGGCACAATTTTGATAATTTTTTTTGTTGGATAGATTTTGCTAAAAGGCACTGAAAGGATTTTTTATAAAGCAACGGATAACGTCATGGAGAACTGACACACAACTTTTTAAAGCGGAAAATCGAGAAGTACTTTTAGTGTTTTTTCAAATTGAGAACGACAACGGATTCGAATGCAATCATATCTCTGACACTTTTCCGAATTTCATCCTTCATTCTTTAGTATTAAGTAAAAAAGTACTAAGCGAATTGGTATCTATCATTATACTTTTCAAATACTATGGATTTTTTAATGCTGTTGTATTATGATGATACTAAAAAACAAATGTCCCTTAAAAAATATTTCAAGCCTTTTTTATCATAATTTTTAAAATTTGTGTAATTAAAATTTGTTTGTATTGAATCGTTATTTACAAGATAAACGTTAAAACTTTAAAAGCTTTGGTCACAGATCTAGGTACTATTAGGTAGTACTGAATACGAATCTGTTATCATTTTCAATTAAAAAAAAGAACTACAAGCACTTCTCGAATTTCTGCTTCAAAAACTGCTTTATTGACTATGAGTCTATAAGAAAAAAACCGTTTCAGTGCCTTCTTGAAAGCTCAATCCAAGAAAAAAAAATAGAATCGAAAAAAATGATGTAGAGTTCCTAAATGGGACACACTGTATATAAACAAATCCAGGGTAAAGTAAAATGGTAAAAAAAAATATTCGTCTAATACATCCCATCACCCCTCTCCCTGCGACAGCTCGTTATAAAATGTCAGCTCTTTATTATTATTTGCGTCGCATGCGGAATGCCGAAACAATTTGCAGAACGCAAAGCCTAGAGACCGAAATATTCGGGCCGGGATGTTTGACGGGACAGTGAGGCGAGCCGCGTTTAAATCGTCGACATTTTTTCAAAACAGAAACTTCGATTTTTTTCAAAATCTGAAACGCGCGCGATTCTTCGGCATTAAAATGGGGAACTTGCACATTTTTTTTATTTCTTTAATACATTTGCTTATGTATAGAAATAATCCATACCAAATATCAAAACTCAATATTTAAATTGTAATAAATAATTCAAGTTGTAACACCCGGCTATTTCTTTTTAACGACAATAAACGCGTGGGAATGATCGTGACGTCATACCGCTGCTTTTAGATCGATACGGCGACCTGTTATAGTGTTATTCTCAAGTGTGGTGTGTGTGTGTGTGTGTGTGTGTGTGTGTGTGTGTGTGTGTGTGTGTGTGTGTGTGTGTGTGTGTGTGTGTGTGTGTGTGTGTGTGTGTGTGTGTGTGTGTGTGTGTGTGTGTGTGTGTGTGTGTGTGTGTGTGTGTGTGTGTGTGTGTGTGTGTGTGTGTGTGTGTGTGTGTGTGTGTGTGTGTGTGTGTGTGTGTGTGTGTGTGTGTGTGTGTGTGTGTGTGTGTGTGTGTGTGTGTGTGTGTGTGTGTGTGTGTGTGTGTGTGTGTGTGTGTGTGTGTGTGTGTGTGTGTGTGTGTGTGTGTGTGTGTGTGTGTGTGTGTGTGTGTGTGTGTGTGTGTGTGTGTGTGTGTGTGTGTGTGTGTGTGTGTGTGTGTGTGTGTGTGTGTGTGTGTGTGTGTGTGTGTGTGTGTGTGTGTGTGTGTGTGTGTGTGTGTGTGTGTGTGTGTGTGTGTGTGTGTGTGTGTGTGTGTGTGTGTGTGTGTGTGTGTGTGTGTGTGTGTGTGTGTGTGTGTGTGTGTGTGTGTGTGTGTGTGTGTGTGTGTGTGTGTGGAACACAAAAACAATATTACAAATCGTGCCATCGTCTTTATGTACAACCCGTAGAACGAGAGATAAACTTTTATTCGTCTACTAGAAAATAACAGTCGTCGTTTTTTGTTAACATTATGTTCAGGTGTCACTTTAGACTTAACCGTACTAATATTTTTAACTCTTCGAACTTGCACTCATCCTACTGCAGTCTCCATAGGAAAGACTTCCTGATCTATAAAAATCTATAAAATGAAGAACACTTTAAATTATCAATGCCAATATATTTTAAAATCAGAACTTAGGTTTCCACTAGTTAAAAAGAAAGTCCTTTTTGTTTTTTTTTTGTTGAATAATTTACATTTTATTTGATGTACCATTCGAATTTTAAAAACTAGAAAACTTTAAGATGATTACAATTTTATATTAGTTTAAAACTAGTGCTTAAATTGTCAATGAACATGCCTTTTAGCTTTAACACCTCGAATCTCAGCAGAAGAAAAACTTTCGGTGTTTTTTATGTAAGATGTCACCATAAACATACCCATTATCAGATTGACCTTTTAAAAATTCGGCTTCGATCATTTTCAAAACTTTCTTTTTGATATTAAACACAAGATAACAAAAGCAAGCGACAGGGTCAAGACTAAAATTAGAATTAAAACCACTAAGGCGAACGGCTGGCGCGTAGTCTAACTAGCGAAATGACGTCACAACCGGTCACAGCCAATGACAGCACGTTTCAAAGAGGATTTAAATTTTACAATTTTTAACTGCTTATATTTGTTACCTAGACTCCGAAATTACTTTTTGTGTCAATTATGGTTCTTTTAATAGTATACACTTACTTTTATAAGGAATATTTTACAAATTAATTTTTATTTCAAGTTCCCTACTGGCGACTCTTCGTATCGCTAGCTGGCTGTGTTTGAATTAAAACTTTTTACTTCGCTACACGCCAAGAAATATTTTTTTCGCCATTATAATAATATAAATTTATATTTATAACGAAAAGAAAAGAAGAGAGAGACAGGGTCAAAATAAACTAAACATAGCAAACTGAGCAAAATATTGCATAAATATAATTATAAAAATATGAATTTATTTGTAAATTTTCTTTGGTTTTGCAAGTTAATTATTTATTGAGATTGAATGTTAGCTGCAGGGATACGAACAAATTTTATCGTACCTTATCCGGGGCACCACCTCATGAGGTTATACTCTTACTAAAAAAATCAGATCGTAAGTCATAATTTAGGTCGTATGATATAGTATCAGTCTTGTCCAAAATACTTTTAAAAAAAATTAATTAACCTATTAGGAAACACTTAGACCTATTGACATTTTACTCAATTTTCAATCGGGTTTTGGGAATGGATCTACTGCTTTGCTCCACATTATAGAGGATATAATTAGA